GCCCGGGGAACGGAGGTGGGGGTGGGGGGGGAAACGGCGGAGAGAATGACGGGTCAACAAGCATCTCTTTCCCATCCAGCTGACGCCAATCCCCCAAGAGGGTGTGAAGTGGATCCTTGTCTCATGTCACAGGAAGAGCCGCCCTGTCTCCCAAAGGAGTCTGAATCCAAGCCTAGCGCAGCGACCACGTAATTGGTGAGATCCGCCACAGGCGTGCTTGCTAGGAGGCCATACCTGGGCCCAGTGCCACAGCACAGGTGCCGGACAGTCAAACACAGGCTCAGCTGAAGGCGGGACTTGTGGGGGGGAAATCCCCCACCCCTGCAAAACAGTCTCAAAGCTCGCATCTTACCTGAGTCCCGGGAAGATTTCCGGCGATGCGTGGCCGAGCCAGACACAGGCTCTGCGTCGGAGTCGGAGGATTCAAATATGTCATAGGAGGGCCTCTGCTTGACGCAGCGCCTCGCCGACTTGCGCTGCAGCAGGGAATCTTGCTCGGCCGTCTCTGTGGCCCCTAGAATGACTTCCCAAGGGGCTGGGAACTCCTCCTGAGAATCCTCTGAATCCCAAGGGACAATGGGCTTCACTACCGTACGACCTGGGGAGGGGGGGGCGGGCATGCATGAGTAAGCTCTCTCTCAGTCCGCCTCCACCAGAAACATGGACACATGCCCCCTCCCGACAAGCTTAATTTTGATCTCGAAAGGCAGAAGGCGAGAGATCCAAAGGCACGCTTGGCCAGCACAAGCTGATCTGACATTTTTTTAAAACTTTGCTTAGCTACCTGGTGCTCAAGGCAGAATGGGCTGGCCTGCCCAGGATTACACTTGCAATGGAATCTTAAGTCAGCCCTCTCCCCCTGTGGCCTGAGATGCATCTTTGCCCTCTGGCCCCTTGCGGAGACCACTGGAAACATACCTCCTCTCCTCTCCTGACCTAATGGCTCTGTCTGGGGCCCACCTGCCTCTCTCAATAGGGAAACTAATTTCCAATACAAAGGAGATTAAGCAACAGTGTTTGGGAGTGGGAGAAGAGGGGGGGGTGTATCCCACCCTCCCCACCGTGGCAGGCTCAGGGGCTGTGTGATGATCTGAAGACATGTGAGAAGCCTATGTCAAATCCCCATATGTCACAGTCAGCCCCTCCAATAAACTGGAGCGGAGGAGGGGACCGTCCTTTGTCATTTATGTGTCATTTATGTGTCATTTATGTGTCATTTATGTGTCATTTATGTGTCATTTATGTGTCATTTATGTGTCATTTATGCTCGGGTTGCCTCACACAGCCCAGTTAAGCCATAATAAACTGTGAAATGTTGGTTATCAGTGTCTCTAAACAGTGACTATCTGTGCATTGAAAACCAGCCCACCCCTTCCCCTTTGCTTCATAGCCCCCCTACCCCACAATCCCCCCCCATATGTATCTGCTCACATAATCAGTGCTTCTTCAGTCTGCAGCCCAGCCATGCCATGTTTATTTTCTTCACAAGCACCAGGGCCAAGGCATGGCTCTGCTCTGTGCAACCCCCCTCAGGTACAATCCCCCCCCCATATGTATCTGCTCACATAATCAGTGCTTCTTCAGTCTGCAGCCCAGCCATGCCATGTTTATTTTCTTCACAAGCACCAGGGCCAAGGCATGGCTCTGCTCTGTGCAACCCCCCTCAGGTCGTAATGGCTTCCCCCTGAAGAAGCCGGCCCCGCCCCTTCCTGACTCATACCTTTTCTCCCCCCCACCTTTCCAAGTAGAGAGAGCCCCTCCCTACCCACCGCCAATGCATTGTCACAGAGAGAGCTACCTGTGAGATTTCACTAACCCCGCCTGCCCATCTCCTGGGCCAGCAGAGATGCTAACCCCCAGGTGGAGCCAGGAGATCTCCCAGAATCACAACTTTTATCTTCAGACTACAGAGATCAGTTCCCCGAAAGGAAATGGCTACTTTGGAGGGTGGACTCTGTGGCATTATGCTCCGCACAGTTCCCTCCCTAAGCCCCGCTCTCCATCCACAAATGCCCAGAAATATCCCAACCTGGAGCTGGCAACCTTCTGGGCCAGGAAGGGTCCCACCCAGCAGAGGCCAGCCTCTGCGCCCTGTAAAGGTAAAAGTTCCCTTGCTGCCAAATGCCAGCTTCCCTCCCCCCCCCCCAATACTCAAGAGGAAGAGACAGGGCAGGACCCACAGCGCCCATCTCTAGCGACCAGATCGCTCCTGGCACGTGTTGAAGCAGTGGGTTGCGAAGGATCATAGAATTGGAAGGGATCTCCAGGGTCATCTAGTCCAACCCCCTGCACAATGCAGGAAATTCACAACTGCCCCCACCCCACCCAGTGACCACTGTTCCACGCACAGAAGATGGCACAAAAACCTCCAGGATCTCCAGCCAAACTGGCCTGGAGAATGATTGCTTCCTGACCCCAAAGTTGTGATCAGCATTTCCCTGGGTGTATGTAAGAAAGGGCCACGAGAACTAAGCACTGATGCAGCCCTTCCTGCCCTCCCCCTCATGATCTGCCTGAGTCCACAGAATCAGCATGGCTGTCAGAAGGCCACCCAGCCTCCTTTTGAAAACCTCCAAAGAAGGAGCTGGCATTATCTTGAATGATCCATACCAGAGTTGAGGGTGGCTGGGCTTTTCCCTCCACTATATGCAAAAAAAAAAATGCAGAGAATTTTAAACAGAAGCTTTATTGATCCCAACGGCTTGTTTTTGAGGGTCACTTTGGAAGACTGAAATTCGGGAAAGGGTGACTTGCCCGTGGGGCTGTCGTTTTGATTATCATTTGTTGTAGGGTGGATACAGCTGTAGGTTGGGAAATTCCTGGGGATGGAGCCTGGGGAGAGCAAGGCGTGGTGAAGGGGCACGATGCCACAGAGGCCACCTTTCCCCAGCAAAAGTGATCTCTGTAACCTGGAGAGCGGGTGTAATTCTGGGAGGTCTCCAGGCCTGACCTGGAGGTTGGCAACCCTAATTTGTTGGCACTCCCTCATTGGATAAAGCAAAAGGGGAAAAAAGTTCAGGAATAATCTTTTATTTGTCTTGTGAATGGATAAAAAAGCAATCCAGAACCCGAGCGGTTGAAAAATAAACCCTAAGCCATGGGGAGGGGGCGCGCGCGCGCCAAAATGCAATACACAAAACTACCTCTCCAAGCGTCCCTAATCCCTGCGGCGCTTCCTGTCTCAGCGGGGTAGCCTGTCTAAATTCTCTTTAGTTACCTCCATTGCTAAGAATCTGGAGGGACCAGGGCCCAAAGAAAAGGGAAACCCATGTACACTACTCCGAAGAAGGGCAGGATACAATGCCTGTGAAGGGGGGGAACGACAACGACGATGACTTGGAAATAATGCCCCACCAAAATCTAAACCCTCCAAAACTCTGTACGTGCTTTAACAGACTGATTTCTACTTCTTCCCTTTAACCAACACTCCTCTGACCTCACCACCAGTATGTCCTTTCCGGGCCATTTTTAGTCCTTACCAGGTCTTTGGGGGAGACTATTTTTCCTTTGGGGTTAATTTTACAGAGCCATATTTTTTGTGTCGATCTGGAGAGCGGATGTCCATAGAAGGCCTCACCCCACCCAACGCGGTCTGTGGGTGGCCTGGTTTTTCCACTTCTGACAACCACACAGGGGACAGTCAACTTAGATATAGCGACAGCTAGATCCAGGATTCAGAGTAAGCTACTCTCCTCCCAAAAGGAAAACTAATACTTGTGGGACCAGTGTTTTAAACCCAGCAGGAACCACAGTTTCTTATTCACAAAAGGGATGAGCAGAATTTCCTCAGCACCAAATGAAAGGACTGGCCAACCAAGAGAAAAGGCTCAACTCCGTCTCAACGGGCCAAAACCTGCAGAAACGTCACAAATACCTAGTAATCTGGAGTACCATAATAAGTGGTACCACAAGCCTGTTCAATAAGACAGCCGGTGTTCATTCAAGAACCCAAGATGCAAAAACTGAAAACTTTTTACCAAGATAGGGTTGCCAACTTCGGGTTAGGAAATCCCTGGAGATTCTGGGGGCGGAGCCTGGGGAGGGTGGGGTTTGGGGAGGGGAGGTGCCTCAGCAGGGCATGTTCCCATAGAGTCCACCTTCCAAAGTAGCCATTTTCTCCAGGGGAACTGACCCCTGAAATCTGTATTCTGATCTTTTGTCACCTGGATGAGAGCTGGAATTCCTGGAGATCCCCAGGTGGCACGTGGAGGTTGGCAACCCTACACAGTTAACATTGCAGTTCCAGGCCAGGAGCCAAAAGGTGGTCAATCTAAATTCTTTTTCCTTTTCTTTTAAACGGAACTTCTTCAGAGCTCTGCTTCTCTACAAGCACTCTTCCTCTCCCTCCTCTTAGCCACTGGGACAGGCCCCAAATCTAAACAAACCAAATGAACTACAGGATCTGCAAGCGGGTACGGTAACGAGAACAGGGATTAACAATGCCACCTTAAGAATGCTTTCCTGGGAGAAAGACCCCTGACTAAAATGCGATTCTCTTCTGAGTAGACTCATTTAGGACTGTTCCCTACAGCAGCAAGTCAGTGACAGCCCGGTTACCACCGATCTGCACAGAACAGACCAAAGACGCGCACGCAGGCTGCTCAGATACTTGTGAAGCAAACTGCATTAGAGGGCTTGGCAGAAGGACACTCGGCAATCCTTTGGCACCAGTTCCTTACTGCGGGCTGGAACAAGGACAATGGCTCTGATCCAAGCAGAGAGGGAGAGCGTGCGCAAAATGGCTGCAGCCTTACACAGAGGTCGCCGGTGCCACCTGGAGTTTGAAGCCAGCCTGCTGCTTTGGGGCATCTGGAAATCTAACATATTTGCCTCCAGGCCCCACAACAGAGAATGAAGCTGCTCACACAAAACTTGTTCTTCTGCACAGAATCCCGGGAATTTCAACCTAGTTTCAGAGGGCAACTGGGCTGATCTGCAGTAGGAACAGTTAGATTCGAGGCCAGGAGCATTTTGGAGACCAACCAGATTTTTTGGGGTATGAGCTCTGAGAGTCAAAGTTCCCTTCATCATCCTGATGAAGAGAGCTTTGACTCTCCACCTCCCTCCAGGAAGCGGAGCAGAGCTCACCTGATCAGGGCCCGAAGAAGAAGAAGCGATTGCATCTATACCCTGCCCTTCACTCGGGAATCTCTGAGCAGCTTACAAACTCCTTTCCCTCCCCCTCCCCACAACAAGGCACCCTGTGAGGTAGGTGGGGCCGAGAGAGCTCTTTCCAGAACTGTCCTTGAGAGAGCCGCTCTGACAGAACTACAGCTTGCCCAAGGTCATCCAGCAGCTGCAAGCGGAGGAGTGGGGAATCAAACTCGGTTCTCCCAGATTAGAGTTCGTGTACTTAACCACTACACAAACTAAGATGCTCCTGGACTCAAACCTAGCTGGTAATTTCAAAGGTCACTTAAGAGCACACGCTTTGCTCTCATGAGCCATGAAAGAAAGTTTTTTGAAACTGCATTTGCAGGTAACAGCCCGACTACACAGGCAATTAGGGACAACTGATTCTCACAACAGAAGCAATACTTAAAATGTAGGGAAGCAAGATTCCCATCAATGCAAGCACCCCAAACTCCATTTCTGGCCTTAAACAGGGCTGCGTAACATGATACACGTAAATGAGTGTAATTTTCAGAATATAACCACATGACCATATGAAGCTGCCTTACACTGAATCAGAACCCTGGTCCATCAAGGTCAGCACTGTCTACTCAGACTGGCAGCAGGTTCCTTCAGAGTCTTTCTATTCACCTACTGCCTGGTTCTTTAAACTGCAATTGACGGGGATTGAACCTGGGACCTTCTGCCTGCCAAGCAGAGGCTCTGCCACTGAGCCACAGCCCCTCCCTCACTACAATGCAATATAATCACCAACCTAACGTGCAATCCATCTGAGCAGAACATGGCAATCGTGATTTGCAAGTAAAGTTTGGACAAAGAAGGCGGAATTCCAAACCTGCAGAACATGCGGGACCGGACACAACAGGGTTACACACAGGTGTAAAGGGATAAGTAACGCCCTTGACCGAAAAGCCATACAGTGGAGGAAACTAAACCAAAACGAGACCACATCACGAGACAGCCACCCCCCCCTTTCATCCATAGCCACCTGGTCATTACCTTTCTTCGACAGCCGCTCCACCCGCCGCGCTTCTATCTTGTCGCATTTCCGATACCTGCCGGTTAGCCAGATAAACATCGTCAGACCACGGAAGCAGCAGTCGGAAAGCCGAATCTTCAGCCCAGGGAGTAAGCTAAGGGAGGGAGTTCTGATTCATGGCCTCCAGCCAAGGCAATAAAGCATTCCCGAGGTGGGGGGGGGGCTGGTCTAGAGGAAGGGAAACTGGAGGCCAATCTCTCCTTCCCCAGAGCAACAGAGGAAAACTTTTCTGCCAAAAACCCACAAAGGAACACGAGGTGCACACACAGACACCCAGTACAGATCTAAATATCTCAGCATTCACTTTGCATCAAGTTTCTAACCATGGCAGGTATCATGAATTATGGTGAAAGATGACCTGCTTCTCTCACCCCTGCATCCAAAAGCTGCACCTGCCTAAATTCCTCCACCTACACAGCTCCTGAAGGTATGAGAGTCCCATTCCTCATCTTTTCAATCTGCTCAAGGCTCGAGCTAAGGCATGGCTCCAAGTTTGATCTCCGTGGTGGGTACTATTCCCTGCCTTTTCTATCTCTGCTGTCTTAGACATCTCAGTTTACTTGACTCCTTTGTTCTAGGCTGCCCATGCATTTAGCAGAAGGAAACCAAGCAGATCCTCCTGCTGGGATTAGCTGCGGACACGCAGGCCGCACAGCAGAGCTCTGTCCCGGCCGTGCAATGGAGAGCCGTGGCCAGCAGCTAGACTGGCACAGGGAGGAGAAGCCTCCTGCCTTCCCAGCTAAGCCCAGACTGAAAGATCCACACCAGGTTCATTGCCTGTCTTGGGAGACAAAGGGATGCTTCAAGAAACACACGGGTGGCGACGCTTAGGCACTCCACACAGCACATCTGGAGGAAGTGGCTGGCTAGAGCTAAATGGTTCCACTAAGGAGTGCTGATCAGTAATCCAACAGGGGGCTGACAGGGGGCCAAATTTGGGCCATACGCCACTTTGCCACCTAGGGACAACTGGGGAAAAGCGAAAGACATCCAGCTATATGGGAAATCGTCAACGTTGAGTGTTAATTACGTAACTATTATATCAACAAACTTAAACTTTGTAATATCGTAATACTTGATCACGCTGACCTGGAAGGCTAAGGCTAGCACGACACTCTCTGAGCTCAGAAGTTAAGCAGTGTCGGCCTTGGTCAGCATTTGGATGGGAGACCAAAGAAGTCCAGGATTGCTTAACAGAGGCAGGCAATGCCTCTTGCCCTGAAACCCCAACCGGCAATGTTCCCTCTAATCCCCGCCCCCCCCCTACTGAGCAGAGCGGCTCACATCCTGAGCAGAATATAACTTCTGTCATCTTAAAATGGGCAATGCAAGACCCTGCGGGGCTCCAGACTGCTGCTAAACGGGGCTTCCTGTGCTAATGACTGGTTGCTCATGCACACAGCTTAGAGGGAACACTGCCTACAGGGTCACTGTAAGTTGGCTGCGACTTGATGGGGGTGGGGGGAATTGTTTATAATCTCTTTTGTTGAGGGTAAGTTGTTTCAAACATGGGCCCTAAAATACTGTATTGTAATTTTTTTCTTCTTTTTGAAATAAAAATTATCTTTTAAAAAAGACATCCAGTGCAGTGGTTGGACTGGGATCTGGGAGACACAGGCTCCAATCCCCCCTCTGCAATGGAAACTTCCTCGGGTGATCTTGGGCCCGTCACACACTCTCAGCCTGACCTTCTTCACAGGGTTGTTGTAAGGATGAGAATAATGTAAGCTGCTTTGGGTCTGCACTGGGAAGAAATGCCAGGAGAAATATCTACATCAGGGTCCCCCAACATGTTGCCTGTGGACGCCACGGTGCCTGCCACGCTTTCCAGAAAGTGGGTGGGACCACTGTAAGGCAGGCCTTTTTCTTTTTCCAGTGAAGGCCTAATAAGCACCTGGGCTTTCCTGAGTCAGTGTGTGGTTCCTGTTCCCTTTCAGGCTTTCCTTCTCCCCGCGAAGTATGAGGAGGGAGGTATTGATTCAGCTCAGCCTCCTGTGACAACCATTTTGGGTTTGGTTCCACCTCCTCCTGTGGCAGCCATTTTGGGTTTGGTTCCACCTCCTCCTGTGGCAGCCATTTTGGGTTTGCTTCCTCCTCCTCCTGTGGGCCATTTTGGGTTTGGTTCCACCTCCTCCCGTGGCAGCCATTTTAGGTTTGGTTCCACCTCCCGTGGCAGCCATTTTAGGTTTGGTTCCACCTCCTGTGGCAGCCATTTTGGGGTGACGCTCACTACCTCCTCTCAAAATTCAAAATCAGCCTGCAGGCTCTAACAGGTTGGGGACCCCTGAGCTAATAAATTTTAAAATTACAGAAGGGGGCAACAGGTTGGCATAACAGAGCTGCTCAGACTGTTGAGCGCTTACCATGATTGCATTTGGCCTTGCTCATTTGGGCCTGGTACTTTAAACACTAGTTGAGACAATGAAGGGCTCCCCCCCCCCGCATGACAGTCCTGATCCAACCTTTAACCCGCTTTTGAAAGGTATTTACACATGACTAGCTGACCCGGATAGCCCAGGCTAGCCTGATCTCATCAGATCTCAGAAGCTAAGCAGAGCTGCTCAGACTGTTGAGCGCTTACCATGATTGCATTTGGCCTTGCTCATTTGGGCCTGGTACTTTAAACACTAGTTGAGACAATGAAGGGCTCCCCCCCCCGCATGACAGTCCTGATCCAACCTTTAACCCGCTTTTGAAAGGTATTTACACATGACTAGCTGACCCGGATAGCCCAGGCTAGCCTGATCTCATCAGATCTCAGAAGCTAAGCAGGGCCAGCCCTGGCTAGTATTTGGATGGGAGACCTCCAAGGAATACCAGGGTCATGACATGGAGGCAGGTAATGGCAAAACCACCTATGAATGTCTCGTGCCTTGAAAACCTGACGGGGTCTCCGTAAGCCAGCTGTGACTTGACGGCAACAGCAACAAAGTTGTGCCAGACAGCAGACAGGGCTTTGAATGCACTTCCCACCAAAAAGCAATGCCGCATCGACAGACACTGGGGCAGACCCAATCATCCTCCAAACTTAGGTGAAACTTAAGCGAAAGGCGACAAACTCGAGCCAAAAAGAAAGGTGGGGTACCAATATTTTAATACACACGTAAATAAATAAGCTTTGCCCAGTGAAGTGGAAGGATAGGAGTCAAATCCATCCCTCCACTGGCACTTGAATGCCCATAAAGTGTCAGACTAGTGTCAGACTAGGTCCTGGAAAACTAGGGTTCAAACCCCTCACTCAGCTGTGAACCCCTCAGGTGTCCTCAGGCCAGTCATTCTCTCTCGAATAGGCCTACCTCACAAAGCTGTTGTGAGAATAAAACAAGAGTGGGGAGATTCACTTTAAGCTCCCTGGAGAGATAGAAACGTGCAACGCAGGCTACTGAGCCGACAACATATCTGGCCTCAGTGGAAGCAAATAGTTTTAGAAGGGCGTTTTGCTCTCCCTACCATGGTTATTGAGGGCAGGTATAATAAAATCCCCTATCCAGAAAGGTTATGCTCTTGTTCCCTTGTGGAGGTTGAGTCTGCAGAGCACCTGTTCTTTAGCTGTCCACTCTACAGGGAGGTACATCTTGGAATTACTACTCCGTTACTTGATATGATCCCCGGCTATGTAGACACAAATAAAGCAAGGCGTTGCTGGTTTTTATCTGATAATAATTCTAAGATTACATGTCAAGTGGCTAAATTCTGTACATTAATTTTCAAATTACGGGAATTGCACCTTAAAAGCTCTTAAATTCGATATATTTTTTTTAATTATTGTATTTTATGTTTGACTGAACTGTATTCTGGTCTAAAGACCATAATAAACAACTAAAACTAAACAGGAGTCAGTGCCTCTATATGTGCAAGCGTACCTTCCCAGACTTAAGGGCCGGAGGTTTGCCTTTTTGAAAAGTGAATGCTGAGATACTCCGGGTGCTGGATTCTGCACCCAGAAACAAATGCACGAGCTTACAACCACGTAGCCCCAGACTCCTCACAGTCATGGCCAAAACCAGTCATGGCAGAGAAGGGCACTCTGAAGTCCAATCTTTCAGCTCCCCAAGAACACAGAAGAGTTAAGCTGACGGGCAAGGCGCCTGGGTCAGAGGCAGGGACCCCCGTGGGCACACTCACACGCAGCATTGCTTCTTGGTGTTCGGCCCACCAAACTTTGGCTTGTCCAGACAGTTGATGCACTCCCCGCAGTCCTGCAGCTTCTGACAGCCTTTGCACTTCCCACAGCGGGTCATTCGGTTCTTCTTGCCATGGTGGTGGTGGGAGACGTGGCGGCGCACGGGGTGCGGCGCGGCCTTGACGGCTGCGTCTGCCTTCACCTGCTTCTGATGCCCGCTCTCGCTCTCGGAGGCCGAGGAGGTCTCTGGAGAACAGCAAGGTCAGAAAGGTCAGAAGAAGACAACGAAGAGATGGGATTTAAACCCAGCCCTTCACTACCCGAAGGAATCTCAGAGTGGCTTACAATCTCCTTTCCCTTCCCCTCCCCACCACAGGCACCCTGTGAGGCGGGTGGGGCTGAGAGAGCTCTTTCGAGGACTGCCCGTGAGAGAACAGCTCTGAAAGAACTTGTGCCTGACCCAAGGTCACACCAGCAGCTGCATGTGGAGGAGTGGGGAATCAAACCCGGTTCTCCCAGATTAGACTCTACGCAACCAACCACTACACCAAACTGGCAGACTGGCCTGGGAACACCCTTCCTGCGGAGAAGTGGCAACCTGTAGCAGGTATTATATAGTGGCCACTACCCATGGTGTCCCCGATTCAAATCTTGCCTCGTCTAAGCACTCTAAAGGTGGACTCAGACAAGTTTCCCCAAGCCCCCGTCTCAACCCTGGTGTGGTATGGCGATTAGAGCATTATGATCTGGGAGACCCAGGGTTGAATCCATGGAAGCTTGCTTGGATCAGTCACTCTCTCAACCTAACCTACCTCAAAGGGTTGCACCTTTCCCCCATACAGAAAGCAAGTCACTTGAGTGACACAAACAAGTCCCAATCCTTAGGGAAGAAAATGGACTCATTTCCATAGTGGGGCTGAACAACAGGGAACCTGCCCCTTTTCTTGTTGGAAGGGAAGGCTCGTGGGGAGCACAAACAAGAGGCCAGTACTTTCTCTGCTCCTTGTATATATCATTTCTCCAGTCCCTTTTGTAACTCCGATCTATCCCCTGCAACGATCACAGATTAGCCTCTTTGCTTCGGGAAGAGATGCCTGGCATTAATGTGCCCATCTTAACCTGTGAACTGGAAGGCTTAAACATCGACCTACCAAGTTAACCAAACTACAGCACTAAATATAAACCAGAGGACACCGCGGAAGCAAACCTTTCAGTGTACCCCCCCCCCCAAGGCACTGACCCTCAACAGTGGGTGAAGCAGCGATCTCCTCCCTCTCCCGCAGTGGCAGGGCACTGAGGCGTGGCACATCCTCCGGCACCATGGCACGAGACTGCCCCAGTGCCACCGAGGCGTGCCGGCACACGTGCTTGATTCGAGGGCCCTGCACCGGAGATTCCTGGCCCTGCAAGGGAGGAAGCAACAAGATCTGCCATTAGCATGAGCAACAGATAATGGATAGCCGAAATAACTTTACTGTACACCTATAACCACTGTTCAAATGTTCCTGAGATGGCTCACGACAATCATAAGTACCTACTACTCACCACAGAAATCAACATAAAAAAGAGCAGTCAACGACCAACCCAGAAACACAGCAGATAAAGCTGTCAGCTAAGGTATCAGAATCAAAACATAATATAGAATGATGGAGCCAATCACAGCTCTGCAACATATTCTTGGCCAACTGACCCCCCCCCCGCCCCCAATCACCAAAAAGTAGAAGAAATAAGTTTTTACCTGGCGCCTAAAGCTTAGCAAATTGTGCCAAGCAAATCACTGCAGTTTTCACCATCCACAGCCCAGGTCAGGACGGCTGTACAAATCAGGTACTGATAGCCACATAACACTTGCAAGAAGGACACGGAATGACTGCACTTCTAGAAGTGTCTCACAGTGGCCCTTTCTGCACCCGTATTTTTCCTCGGTTTCTGACTGCATCCTGTTCTTCCACTCTGCATTCCCTCCTGCTTCCACTCCCACTTCCTGTCTGGGCTTTCTCTTGCTTCTGCATTTGTTTTACAGGAATCTGAATTCAGAATGCTTCCAGCACACTGCTGCCCCGCAGCTACCAAAACTCCTTTTGCTGTGATTCTTTGTTCTCATCAGCTTTTGAATCGCTTCGCTAATCCTTTCTAAAGTAGAATTGCTTCTTCAGGTATTTAAGTGCTGCCCACTGCCTTCCCCTGTTTACGCCTCTCGCTCTGTAGGGTGACCCTCCCTCCCCGTTCTGTTTTCTTTCCCTCCTTCTCCAAAGACAAAAGCTCAGGCAAACTTTTAAAAAGCCAGAGAGGGGATTCCCTAGTCCTGAATGTGTCAGTCTTGCATGGGTGGGTCTGGATTTCCCCCTCCCTTCCCTTTCTTTTTGTAGAATCATGGCGGGCAAGAGGTAGCTGGCAGCCAGTTAGCTCAAAAAATGCGTGTTTTGCTTGTAGATGCAGAATGCATACAGAATACACAAATAAATAAACTGGAGTGGGAAAATCCAGTGCAGAGGAAAGACCTGTGACTGCCCTTAAGGCTTGACTCCTTGGATTCTCCGGAGCAAGCTGACAATGCAGAAAGGGCCAGTGTAGCGATTTGGCCGAGCGAGTCAAATCATGTACATTCTGTCCCACAAGCACCTTTGAGTTTGGCTACTCCTCTCTGGCATACACAGACTGACAGCCTCTGTTACCTGCTTCCTTGCATCTTTCCCATCCTCTCCATCCGCTTTAGGTTCCGAACTCGGCTCCTGCTTGCTCTGGACCTTTGGGGGCTCCAGAACATCGATCTTGATGGTTTGACACCCCTAAGTGGAAGACACGGAGCGTTTGCGGGGGATTCTGAGAGCCCTCCTTGCTGAGATTGACTGCTTCGGTGAGCAGGTGATATTGGGGTTCAGGGGAACATGCCATTTCCCATACATTAGGTGGCCCTTATCCAAGAGGTTTGTCTGTGAAACTGTTATCACAGTTGGTACAGGCCATGAGCCTGCTTTGGCAGGGTAGGGCGGGATATAAATTGGAATATAAATAAATAAATAAATGTGTGGGAGCACGCAATGCATCTGCAAGGCCACAATTACATTACATGGTTCAGATCAACATCTGAGTCCAGCAGCACCTTAAAGATCAACAATATTTTCTAGGGTTATAAGCTTTTGTGAGTCAGATACCACATCAAAGTGAACTTTGACTGACAAAAGCGAACATTCTTTAAAAGGTGCCGCTGGACCCGAAGTTTGTTCTACTATATACTAACACAGCTACCCACCTGAAACTATCTCCCAGGAACTGAATATAACCCTCCAAGCATCCCTGTTGCTACTGCAGAGAATCACACAATCTACACAAGTGTAGCTTACATAAATGCGCAGGAACACTGGAAAATATAGACACGTTTGCATGGAAAACTTTAACCAAAAGACAATTTTTTGCTAGAGTGGCATTTCCATGCCAATAATACCTACTGAACTCTCAATGAGGTTCATTCTCTTTGCCCTCCTACTTCTATGCACTTATTGCTCATAGGTTTCACGAACTGCAGCTTCCCTGACAATCTGCTGTTGCTGTTTTTGCCAACAATTCACAGCCAACTTATAGCAACCCCGGAAGGTTTTCAATGCAAGTGACGTCCAGAGGTGGTTGGCTGCTGCCGCCTCTGCGTAGCAACCCTGGACCTCCTTGGTGGTCTCCCATCCAAGTACAAACCAGGGCCGACCCTGCTTAGCTTCTGAGATCTGACGAGATCAGGCTAGCCCGGGGCTATCCAGCTCAGGGCCTGCCCAATCTACAGCAGCACATATAGAAATAAAAGCCGGGGGGGGGGGCTAAATGATAGTGCCAGAAATAAGGAATGCACACTTGGACGGCCTGAATGAAGTAGCTGCTACAGAATCAGATTTGGATCAGGGAGTCTCGGGTTCAAATCTTCACCCTGCCATGAAGCCTGCTTGGTGACCCTGGGACTCGTCTCTCAGTGTAACCTCCCTTACAGGCTATGATACCAGCACGGTGTAGTGGCTAAGAGCGATGGACTCTAATCTGGAGTACCGGGTTTGATTTTGCACTCCTCCAACGTGAAGCCAACCGGGTGATCTGGGGTCAGTCTCACATAGGGTTGCCAGACACACACCCCCCCCGGTTTAGCAGGGGTTACCCACTTTGTTGGGGGCTCTACCCACCACCAGTGTTGCCTCTAAGCTGAGTTAGTGTGTGAGCCAGCTCAGTTTTTTAGTCTCCGGCTCACACGTTTTTATCTTTGCTCAGGAAGGGATGGCTCCAGAGCGAACTAATTTATGCAGCAGCCAAATTGCTTGCTCATAACTTTCATGCCAGGAGCTCACAAAGCAGGCTTTTTGCTCACAAGACTCCACAGCTTAGAGGGAACATTGCCCACCACCTGGCCAGCTGGCTGGCAGAGGAAGCCCCAAGCCGCAACACCCACAGCCACCCCGTCCCTTCTCCGGGTGGGCAAGGTACTCTGGCTGCAGGCACTTAAAGGGATCCCTTTAAGTGCTCGCAGCCAGCAGAACAGGGCCCCGCGCGCCCGATCTCCCAGTGGCAATGCTGCTTGGAGATTGGGCGGGTGGGGTCCTCGGCTACGGGTACTTAAAGGGATCCCTTTAAGTGCTTGCAACGGGCGGGACGGCCCCGTGTGCCCAATTTCCCAGCGGCAATGCCGCTTGGGGATCGGGTGTGCGGGGCCCTGTCCTGCCGGCTGTGTGCACTTAAAAGGGACCCATTTAAGTGCTCGCAGTCGGCAGGATCATCCCCGTGGGGGCAGGGCTTGGAGCTCGGACATCCCCAACGTGACATCATCACATTGGGGATGCCCTGCCCCCCCGGGAAACGCCCCCCAAAGTCCCCCGCTGGGGACGAAGATGGACCTGGCAACCCTAGTCTCACAGCTCTTTCAGAGCTCTCTCAGCCCCCAAAATAAGTCTAGCTCGCCACCTGAGTGGTCCATGACACTAAAGGGCTAGAACTTCAGGCTGCCAGACAATCTTCGGATCTCCTGGCTACACTGCACACGATGCCATACGATTATTATTATTACTATTAATTTGAAGGAGACAATGAGGAAAGAAGAAACACGGACGCTCCCCTTGGAGGAAGGGTGGGATAAAAATGGACTAGCGTGATAGCAGGTTAAAAAAATGTAAGCAAACCTGCTTTTTAATGCATAATATGATACAGAGACCGATTTCGGGCAGCAGAAGGGGGAATGAGGCTTACCCTTTACCCCTTCATTGAGTTCTCTATTTAGAGATTGCTGGGGGGGGGGGGTCCAATTTTTTTTGGGGTTGAGTATACAGTTCCAGGCAGTCTAGAAACAGTATTTATACGAACAAATAGCCCCAGACGGGAACCAATGTGTGGTCTGGCAATCCCTAACAGCGCTCTATAGTTCTCAGAGACAGGTTCTAGCCCTTGACTTACTTTGTTTATACCCTGCCTTTCTCCCCAGTAGGGACCCAAACAGTGGTTCTCCACTCCTCCATTTTATCCTCCCAACAACCCTGCGAAGTAGGTCAGACTTCGCATACTTAGCTAAGGTGTGGGAAATATTCTTGATGGACAAGAGAGCCGGTTCCACAGCTAACTCAGAGACGCGTTCAAGCTTCTCCAATCCATTAGACAAATGGTTTCCATTTTCAGAATATACAGCAGACAACATCACTTCTAAAAGGTACTTGATTCATTCTCGATACTATGACATTATGACCCTTTTGTAGGTCTACTTGTGTAACTTTTGTCTCCCAATCAACAGGAGTATAGTTGACGAATTGTTAAGTTTATACTCATAAGGTAATGTTAGTCACGCTTATGGTAATAGTTTTTGGATATGTGATACTATAATATTTTGGATGTGTAATACTATAATATAGTATACTATAATATAGTGTTCCTACTTAATGAAAGGATATTCAAGGTACAGTATCCACAGAAATTTCTGAATGATTTAAACGTACCATGTAGTGATGTATTTAATGATATGGTTATCTGTCAGTGCAAGATTGAGACTTTACCATGTTTGTTGCTGTTATATTTCACTAAATTTTATTTTTTTTATATAGTAGCTCAGACTGAGATTGTGTGACTGGGCCAAGGTCACCCAGCAAGCTTCCATGGCTGAGTGGGGATCTGAACCCAGGTCTTCCAGATCCTAACCTGACATTCAGAGCACTATGTCTCAGCAAATGCATATAGCTAATGTCAGGCAATATCTCAGAAATGTTTCCACAGGGAGGGGAAGACAGTGAAAAGATTCTGAAATGGTCAGGAAATTTATTTTGAGCGCCCTGCACAGCATTTAGCTCTCAGCCTTGACTAGCAGAAGCAAAATTATGCCAAGCAATCCAACTGAGCCAAACACACAATACGCATCGTCCAAATGGGTGACGGTTTTTACTTGCCCCCAGCCCTGGATACCGCGTCACATGCTGACTTCTCCCTGAACGGCTGGGCAGATTTCAAAGATCTACTCATCTCCAAGATGGCAAACCTACGCCAGGCCTGGACACCTCCAAGTTATACGTGGGAGCTGACAACCGAGTTCTCCCTCCATACAAATAACTGCCTCCAAGCAGTAACCTAGCATGTCAGGGAGAAAGGCTAGGCCGGGTGTCTGTTTATGGGGATTTTCTCTCCCTCTTATATGGAGGATCACTAAGTCACATGAGTCCCCTCACCTGCAGGCCAGACACCGGCTGACCATCCCAATGACAGCTGAACTGTTCAAGTGATAAGTGTGAGGTTTATATATCCTGGTTCAACTTACATCAGTAAAGTTAAGGCAACAACCTGCTCTTTGGGCAAAATGTTGCTTCGTTTTTTCCCTTTAGCAGCGCTTGCGATATTAAATGCTGACACGGGCTGCTGGGATCCGTGGGGAAAGGAACAGAGCAGTTACTTGGAAAACTCCAGATCCTGAAGTTTCTCCAACTTCAGTAAAAGTCCAAATAGTGAAGTTCCTTTGGGGTGTACGGGCTGCATAAAGACTGACAGTGCAATTCAGCTGCGCTTAATCACAACCAGTGTTCCCTCTAAGCTGAGTTATTGTGAGCTAGTTCACAGTTTTTTAGCCTCCAGCTCACACATTTTTGTTCTGGCTCAGGAAGGATGGCTCCAGAGCAAACTAATTTATGCAGTTGCTAAAATCGCTCGCTCACAACTTTAATGCCAGTAACTCACAACGTAGAATTTTTACTCACAAGACTCCACAGTTTAGGGGGAGCATTAATTACAAACCCTGCTGATAAACAGCCCCCCCATGGGGGTCCACTGGTGTAAAAAGAGAAAAAAAACCAATTGATAAAGAGCGATCCACTAAGATTCCCCAAGACCACCTGCATCTTCTTCTGGGCTCCATCTTCACCCCAAAGCCCTGCCCACCCCTCCCACCCCACGCAAGTAGCTCTTACCGGGCCCAGTTTGAAATTCTTCTGCTGATCGATCTTGAAAAGCTGCACCTTGGCACGAGTGAGCAAGCTGTACACTTTGTCCATGCTCGACAGCTGGGCCATAATGGGCTTCGGCACCTCCGGAGGGGGCGGTAGCTCTCCTGAACCGGGGCTGGCCGGCTCCGCCTCGCTCTCCGAGCTATCGGCCTCCTCCTCCTTCGGGTGGACTGCCGGAGGCACGACCCTGCGGATGGCCACCTTGTGCACCACACCGGGAGAATTCACATCCTCCATGGTGATCAGCTCTTTGCCCTGGGCCCCGAGCGGTCTCGGGACCTCCGTGAAGAGGGGCAAGGTGAGATGGTTCGTCCTTCCCATCAGCCTCTTGCTGCTGCGGGTTACCACCACCGGCTCATTGGGGAGGGTGGGAGCTTCTTGCTGCTGCGATGCCGGGGTGTCTCTCCTGACCTCAGGGGAAGCGTGCGCCGACTCGGACTCCTCGGAAGACACCGTCAGCGACTCGTAGATTTTAAGGTGTGCTTCGCTCGGCGTGAACTGAGGGGCCCGCAGCAGGGGGGTCCGCTTGGCGGGGGGCGAAGGGGTTAGCGTCGGAGTGCTGGGCAAAGAAGGGGAATCTTCGCTAGGAAGATGGAACAGGGTCTTGCCCAGATCTTTGGGGGATGAAGTGGGGCTCAGGGAAGTCCAGCGGAAAGTGGGCTCCCGGAGGATGGAACGCCGCTTCTCAGGCAGGGCGGAAGCAGAGGAAGCTATATGGGGAACGTTAGGGGAAGGTGGCGGGGAGAGAGCTCTGGAACTATCTTTACTCGGAGAGCTAGGGTTCGGGGGAGTCAGCTGCAGTGAGGTCACCGGCAACGACGACAGGAGGGCCTCTTGTTTGTCAGGACAAGACCCTTCCGGGGCAGCAGGGCTTTCTACAGGCTTGGCCGTCTTCTGCGGGATCTCGTCGATAAAGCGGCGGGGGGTGCGGATGAGGCGTGACGAGCGAGCGCTCACCACAGGCATGATGAACTGGCGGATATTCTTCAGGAACGTGGCCTTGAGAGCCGGGGCTTCCTCGGAGCCGGTGCCACCAGCCTGTTGGGCGGCCGCCAAAGCCTCCTCTCGGGCCTTGGTTGGTTGCTGCTGAGAGGCCATGCGCTGGGCCCGCTGGGAAGCGGTGAGGGGCGGGCGGCCACGGCCCCGCTTTGAACACTGTGCCCGGGTGGAACGGGAGATGCTGGAAGACCCCTCCACGGGAAGGGCCCCCGTCCTGTCACTCTGTGGGTCGGCCTGCTGTTGCCCTTGTTTCCCGGAAAGTCCATTCGGTGAAGCGGGAACGCCGTCTCCTGGAGTCGGAGCCTCCAGTTCTGGTCGACAGACTTCCACCATGGGGGGCGGAGCCTCTGGTTGTTTCTCTGGCTCCTGAGCGAACACATCTGGTTGTGCCTCTGCCTTTGGGGCTGGAAGTTCTGGCTGTGGTTCTGGACTCTCATCGAGAACCTCCGGCTGCGACTCCAGAGTCGAAGCCACCCCTTTTTGTTCCCGTTCAGGGGCAGAAGCTTCCGACTCCGACAAAGGGGCCTCCGACTCAGAGACAGACAGGGAGGGGAGCGGGGAGCTTCTCTTCTTCTGCACAACACTCCATTTCCTCTTGCGGCCCCTTCTGTGGCCAGAGCCCTTTAGCCGGACGTGGGTGACCACCAACTTGCCGGACTTATGCCGCCTGGCCTTGGAAAAGAACTTTAGGATGAGTGGGGGCTTCTTAGGTTCTGGGGATGGTGGGGAGGGGCTGACAGCTGGGCGTGGTGAGGGCGAAGGGCTCTTGTGCTCAGGTTCGGGGAGGGAACATGGAGCTTCGACGCTTTGGCAAGGAGGTCCAGGCGTGGTCCTGGGTCTCTTGGTGAAGGAGCCCCGTGGCCGGCCGCGTGGCCTGGCGGATGCAATGGAGTTGGGATTCTTCCCGGTCTGTGGAGGAAGGGTGGGAGAGAGGGTGGCTTTTACGGAACCGCCTGCTTCCAGGCCAACTTTAGTCTGCTCGGGAAGCATCCTGCCTATCTTGGGGCCCGAACCCGGTGGCCTGCCCAATCGGGCTGGGGGTCCCTTGGCCCTCTGAAGCAGTTCAGCCAAGGCCTTCACCATACGCTCCCTCTGTGACTCGGCGGCCTTCTGCTTGGCCAGCCGCTTGGAACGGCTGTCCTCGGAGAGCGCCCTCTTCTTCCGCCCGCGGGCAGGCAGAGCCGCACCTGTGGAAAGAAGGAGGAAAGCTTAGCTGCAGGAGTGTTTTCACCATCGCGGCAGAAAGATCTGCTAAGCTAAGCCACTCTGGAGAGGAAAAGGTCAGTTCAAAAAGGTGCCGGCACATCTGACGTGCCGGGGGGGGGGGACCCTCCACAAACGGCCAAAGGCTGTTCCCAGGATGCCGCTCAACACAGATCCTTTTGTTGGCGCTGTAGTCATTAGGCACTTAGCTCTGTGCCACCCTGAAAAAAGGAGCTGGATAGGGAAATACAGTGAATCTTTTCAACTGTTTTAAAGGAGGAAGCGGGAGCTCTGCAGCAACTCGAAAAATTAAATGGCGTCCATGCGTGGGAGGGATATGCCCTCCTCTGGATAGGACCTCAGGATCCCCTGAAATGACACCTCCTCTCCAAACTAGAGAGATCAGTTCCCCTGGAGAAAATGGATGCTTTGGAGGGGGGGAACTCTGTGGCACTGAACCCCACTGAGGTCCCTGTCCTCCCCGGGCTCCACCCTCGGAGCTCCAGGTTTCCCAGCCGGGACCTGGCAAAAAAAAAAAAAACCCGCCACCAGCAGCCCGGGGGACCTGGCAACCCTAATGCTGGGTCCTGATCCAGACTGGTGCTACAGTTGTGGAGAAGAGGGAGTTTAGTTTCCTCCATCCACCCCGGCTGGTTTCCCCAAAATCACATACAGGCGAAGGGAAAGCATCTGATTTTTGTCTCTTTCGTGGCTAACAGTTCAGGGCTTCAAATCAGCAAAACCGCCACGGGTGGGGGAAGTTTAATCCCCCACAACCACAACCTCAGTCCCAAACTGGGCCACATGCGGCTGCTACTTCCTTTTAAAAGACCCAAGGTGGTTTCCCCAGCGGAACGTCTACTTTGGCACTGAGCACCAGGTATGGGTGCAAGTTATCAGGCAGCGAGAGTGCTTAGCAGATTGCCCCTGAGCTATAAACACCGTCTTACCAAACTAGCAGCAAAAATACACACACAAAACATCTCCAAAGACAAGATGCTTTTCTTCGTGAATACAGGAAGATCACTGAAAACAGAGAGCTGCCCATCCACAAAGACATGGCTGACGTGGGCCTATCCAGACTAAAGTCCTGACGCCCAGCAATAAAATCTGCACAAATGCTGCAATCATGAAATTTCGATCTAGGTTGCAAACATGGATGCAGTCAGTTCCACCCGATATTCATAACCTGATAAACAGCAACGAGAGATCCACAGGATTCAACTTGCCACGTAAAGTATGGAAGATGGCTAATAGAATACAAACAGGCTTTGGCAGTTGTGCAGCCCTGTTGCTTAAATGGAGCAAAATACCAGGACCCGAATGCAATTGTGGTGCAGCCTGCCAAACGATTTTCCGTCACAGGACTGTGAGCATCGTGCTTTCCAGGGAGATGTGACGGAGCTCCCTGAACTCTCCCCAGCTGCGACTGAGTGGACTGAAAATTTAGATAGTAGTACTTAGGGGGATTGCTCAATCTGTCTGTATACTCGTATCAACTTGGTTATGTATTTTATATTATTATATGCTTCCTGTGTGTTATTCTGCCGTACGATAAATAATTGCCCCTGAGCTACCTGTTCTGTGCTTCAATACAGTGACTTCAAAAAAGAAGAAGAAACGTCTGTGCTTCAATACAGTGACTTCAAAAAAAGAAGAAGAAGAAACTACTTGGGATGTTGACCAGGTTGCCCTTTTAAAACTCCCCTTTCAGAGCTGTTAAATGCCATGTATAGAATCACAGAGTTGGGAGGGGTCATACAGGCCATCTAGTCCAACCCCCTGCTCAACGTGGGATCCGCTTAAAGCCTCCCTTGCCTAGTGTTTGTCCAGCCACTGCCTGAAGACCACCAGCGAGGGGGAGCTCACCACCTCCCTAGGCAGTCGATTCCACTGCTGAACTACTCTTGCTGTAAATATATATGCGAAAGGAAGATGGCTCTGAATGTGAGATGACCCCCCCCAAAAAAAGTTATGCACGGAAATGTTTTATCACTGTACGCCATTATGAATAATATGTGAATGTAATGGTGCACTTCGGGGGGGGTTGCCTTTTGGGTAAATACAGGAATGCTTTGATTTTGGAAAAAGACATACTGGAATCAGTGTTCCCTCTAAGCTGAGTTAGTGTGAGCTAGCTCACAGTTTTTTAGCCTCCGGCTCACATATCTTTGTCGCCGCTCAGGAAGAAGGGCTGCAGGGCAAACAAATTTATGCAGCAGCCAAATCGCTTGCTCACAACGTGAATGCCAGTAGCTCACAAAGTAGAATTTTTGCTCACAAGACTCCATGGCTTAGAGGGAACACTGACTGGAATGTATTTTCCTGAATTATAAATGTCTTCCCCCTTGAAGCTTGCAAGGTAGCGTCTCGCTAGCTTGCAGAACTACTGTTTGGGATGGCTTTGGGGAGTCAACTGAAGGCTTCAGGGTAAGGCATTGAACTGTATTCCACTCTAGCGGAATTCATTTTTTCAGCCAATATTGTAATGCTCCTGTACAGATCTATGGTGCAACCTCATTTGGAATACTGTGTACAGTTCTAGTCACCATACCTAAAAAATGACCTTGCAGAGCTGGAAAAAACACAGAACAGGGCAACTGAGATGATTAGGGGGTTGTAGCACCTTCCCTATAAGGAAGGCTGAAGAGTCTGGGACTTTTCAGTTTAGAGAAGGGACAACTCAGTGGGAGCTTTTAGCATGGGGTGGAGAAAGCAGACAAAGAGAAACTCTTCTCCCTCTCCCAAAACACTAGAACTCAAGAGCATCCAGTGAAGCTGACGGCCAGTAGATTCAGGATAGACAAAAAGAAATACTTCTTTACAAAAGCAATCATTAAAGTATGGAATTTGCTGCCAGAGGATGCAGTGATAGCCACAGGCATACACAGCTACAGCTTTAAAAGGGGGTTATATAGTTTCATGGAGGACAGGTCTATCAGTAGCTACTAGCCATGGTGACTAAAGGGAACCTTCACATTGAGAGGCAGTAAACTTCTGAATCCTAGTGCCAGCAGCTAACATCAGGGGAAGGCCTCGGCCTCTATGCCCTGTTGCTGGACCTCGGGAGGAACTAGATGGCCACTATATGAGACAGCTAAAAAAATTACAAAACACGGGGTTGGATCCAGACAGCTTTTTCGCTCAATCTTCCCAAGTTCCTCTCCTTGTTACAACACACACATACCCTGTTCCCCATGGCTTTTGTGCCTGAAGGTGTCACAATCCCCATCATAACCTTTTAGATGGTCAAAGGGAACCCCCTCTTTTTTCCACCATGGAGAAACTGCATGCATGCACCCGCAACAGACACCCTTACCTCTTTTAGACCGTAGAGCAGTGCGCAAAGAACTCTGGGAGGCCTCATCCTCGGAGTGGAAGCCCAGAAACTCATCCTGCCAAGAGAGAAGGGGAGAGAGAAGCAGCGTCAAAAACAGAGAGGACACCTGTGCTCTTTCAATCAGAGGAGACCCACCATCACAAGATGCAATGATGGCCACGTGCGTAGGGTGCTTTTGAAAGGGGTGTGTGTGTGCGGTTGAAGAACTCATGGAGGATGTCTATACAGGAAGCTGCGTTGCCCTGGATCATACCCTTCCTGTATCAAGGTCAGCATTACCTACTCTGGCAGGCAGCTGCTGTCTATGGTTACAGGTGGAGGTCTCTCACCTCACCTGCTTCTGATCTTTTTACTTGGGGATGCTGAGGACTGAGCCCAGGACCTTCTGCATACCAATCAGATGCTCTTCCACTGAGCCACGACCTCTCCCCCCTCAACGAGAACGGAAGGATCTGCCTTATCCTGAATCAGATCCTTGATCAATCAGGGTCAGTGTTGCCAACTCTAGCAGGCGGGCTTGCCAGTATTAGAGCTGGAGCTCCTTCACATCACCTACTGCCTGATCCTTTTATTTGGAGATGCCGGGGACTGAACCTTCCACATACCAGCCAGACGCTCTCCCACTGAACCACAGCCCTACTCTGCCAATGTTGATTCCCCATGACTGCCAAACAGGGCCTCCATGTTCAGAGAGAGAGAGATAAAGCACATGGCTGTGCATCCCTCACTGAAGCACAAACATCAGGGCTTCAAATCTCACATCTGGCACACATTTACTTGGCCTCTGGCAAACCATTGGCAGCCTCAGCCCATCTCCACCAGTGCCGCTGGATAATGGCCACAAGGACAGATGTTATTACTGCCAGGAAGCAGCTGTGACAGGCAGGAGATGGAAGAACTTTTTCAAGAAGCAGGGTGGCTCTAGAGTCAGCTTGGTGGTGTGCCCTGGAGAATCACAGCCTACTTGGCCAAGGGGATAAGGCGTGATGGTCAGAAGCCAGTAGGAATGCATTTGCACAAACACCAAGTGCTACAAAAACATGTTCCCGAATGAGAAGACCAAGGTGCACCTCCTTCCTGTTGCCAGATCTCTCCTGACCCCCTTGCACGGCAGAAACCGCGACTGCTGTTGTAGGACTCCCTCAAAGAATCAGGACCATTTTTCTAGCGATAGCCCTGGTACGATCTTCCTGCAGGACTTTTGTCCGTGACCTTCTCGAATCCTCTGCAAGTACCGTTCAGCAGCAGCTACTGAAGGATCTTAAACAGATCCCATCTAAAGTCAACTGTGCTATCAGATCCCCTCGGGTTTGAAAGGCATTCCCAGACGACTGGCTCCACTGGCCTTTTAATGATCATGGCCTTGACCTCCCAAGGCTCCTACAGAACACATTTCTGTTTGGCCACCGCACATCTGTGTATCGAGTATCAGACCCATGGGGTTTCTTTTTACTTGCACGCATGGTCAGAATGGTGAAAGCCATACCACCTAGAGGACCTTGCCCACAACGCTAGCCAAGCATCTTAAGACAGGTGAGTTACCCCTTAACCTGGATAGCCCAATCTAGCCCAATCTAGCCCAATCTCATCAGATCTCGTAAGCTAAGCAGGGTTGGCCTTAGCCAGCATTCACAATACCAGGGTTGTGATGCAGAGGCAGGCAATGGCAAACCACCTCTGAAACGTCTCTTGCCTTAAAAACAAGTCTAGCTCGCCACCTAGTGGTGCATAATGCTAAAACAACTAGAACTTCTGGCTGCCAGACAATCTTAGCATCTCCTGGCTATTCCACACACGACGCCATACGATAATAATAATAATCCCTTAACACAACCACCCCATTTGAGAGTTTCAAAAGATAGTGAAGGGTTTCTCTTTGGAGAGGGCACCCCTTCATTGCATATGAACAGATGACCTCTAAAATGGGGTTGCCAACTGGCCATGCCCAGGCTAAAACTACCTCCAAAGATGCCCCCCTCTTCTACCCCCTTCCTTCTTTTCTAGACTTCCGAAAGCTTCCCAGAGGGAAGAAGGGGCTGAAGGGCATGCCAGAACTTTTCTACATAATTCTTTCTCACTTTTTTGCCTTAATCCAGAAAAGGTGCCAATAACATCCACGCACTCCTAAATGCAGGACCTTAATCTTGAATTCAGTTTCCTCACTGTTGACTTAATGTGCCATTCTTTGACCAAAGTGCCTTTAAACGCTTACTCTGGCAGGAAAAATGGGAGGGGGGGAGCACAAAAGTGGGCAAGAAAATGCACTATTTTTGCCCTGCGTACAAGGATGTTAATTGGAGATTGCTTCTCAGTTTGTTCTCACGGTGCCTCTTGGCCACCCTGGAGATGTTATTAGAACTGTAGCTGTGTAGATGCCACATCCACTGGAGAACAGAAAAGCAAATAATTGTTATAAGAAGTTGGAAAACTGGGATCCCTTCAGTCAGCCGGGCACGCATTTCGGTTCATTATGCTCTGCAAAGCAAAACCGGTTAACCGTGCTCCGGCTAACCGTGCTTTGGAGTAAAGTGCCACAGTAGACCACGACTCAATCCACACTTGCAAGGAATACCGGCTTTTAAAATGTATCTGTCCCATTGGAAACTGACAGGTTGAGCACGAAGGCGCAAGCTGGCCAAGGATTGTAAGCTATGCCCATGTTGTGTGTGCTCTTTTGCTAACATGCCAGAAGGGCCCATCAAAAACCTGAAGGCATCTGGGATTTGTCTTCAGCCATCAAGAGAAGAGTCATAGGTGGAACTGTCTCTTTCTTCAAGAAGGCAAGGAGGGAGTCAGACTGGGCCTCGGTGGCACACCAGGAAATAGCTCAAAACTACATACACTCTTGCCCTGACACGGATAGGCCAGGCAAGCCCGATCTTGGAAGCTAAGCAGGGTCAACTCTGGCAAGTACTTGGATGGGAGACCTCCTTGGAATGCCAGCAGTCGGGAGGCGGGGCGGGCTTTATTCAGCCACCTCTCTGAAAATTCTCCAGGTCCCCAGTAAGGGTCAGTCACCAGAGGTTGCCCATGACTTCCAGGTGCGCACACACACACACGCACTCACATAACCCCCCCCCAATTTTTTTTTTTTAAACCCACACTCTCTGGTGGCTGTTCCTGAAAGGTCAGAAAGAAACGGCCCCATCTCAGAGATAATCAAGGCATTGCAGCTGGGCATCTGGGATAGTGAACAGATGGCAGGCAACAGCACACACAAAATCATCTGCACATCACAGTATGGATTTAGTGACTTCCAGAGAGCAAGAAAGTGCATCCTGTGCTGTGGACCCCTTTTCTGGTTTCCTGGCCCACTGCGAACCATCACGTCTTCTTACGCTACAGCTGTCCAGCAGGTGGCTGCTCAGGCGGGTCCCTGAATTCAGCCCCTTCTACATTCCAATGCAGCTGTTCTTGAATGCTTGCACTGAAGGGGAAAGGAAAGTGTGACTTGGCTGTGATAAGAGTGAAAAATGTGGGAAACTCCGTTTTATGATTTTATAATGATCTCAGACTTTTAGCTGATTGTGTCATTTACTGTCTCTGATTTTAATGTTGTATATGCCATTAAAGGTCTATTGATTGATTGATTGACTTGGTGGCAGGCAGTCTTCGCAACTCACACATATGCTCTGTGTCACAGAGGTTAATCTAGAGGCTGCTAGTCTGGGCCAATTTCATACATGATTTAATCTGTTCCTGGGGACTCTTGGGCTTGTGTGCTCTCCAACAGGCCCCTTTCATACATTCACAGCAAAGTTTGTCATCACCATGTGATTGGTCTCCATGTCAATGACGAGAGCTGCCAAACTGGGTGACGGGCAAAACAAGACAGAGGGTCTTTACATACTTAGGGACACCCCCTTCCCCCAGATATGCAGGGGGGGGGAAATGACTGGACAAATTAAGCAAAATTTAAAAATGAACCTAAAAAAACCAGGCTGAAAACGCTAAAGAAAAGATGGAACAAAAGAGAGAAATCAGACCTAGAGAGAGTTTAGAGAACCCTGGAGTGGGAGATTTCCAAATTGCTCTCTCTTCCCATGACTCCCTGCAGGTCCCTGTGTTGTGGACCACTATTGTACTTTAACGGATAGCACTACCTGTTTTAATCCATACAGTTTTAACTACTGGATTATTGTGTTTATATTGCTGTATATTGTTGTTGTGATCCACCCTAAGTCTGCTTGCAGGGAGGGCGGAATAAAAGCCGAGATAAATAAATACAACCCAACATCAAACTACAGTTTGCTCTCTTTCCTACAACCCATGATTCCAAACCAGGACTGCCCCAGAATTTAGAATACTGGTTTGCAGGGATGAACACGCAAGTCCCAAGCCGAGGTCTGGATGTGACAGCCAAACACAGATTGATGCAGAAAGGAATTAGTTGGCTGTCAGTGAGGGGAAGGAGGAATGCACAAGCCCAAAGGGTCCTCCAGGGCTGGCCATGTAACGGCTAACCTGGACTTGACAGCACGGAATGTGTGTGAGCTTTGCAAACACCTACCCAGATTCCCAGCAATGCCTGTCTTTCACATGGGGCTCCCAGTCCAGCTGCATTGGAATGCAGAAAGGAACTGAAACTATTCAGCAATCTGTCTCTGTTTGGATAGGGAAAGCCTTCAACATTGTCCATGGTAACTTGAGGACAACCTGGGGGGGGGGGACCCACTGTGGCTCACCAGTTTAAAACCAAGAGGTGCTCCCTCCACCGAGAAAGGATCACTGCAGTAAAGAGCAGCAATTAAGACATGAAAAGGTAAAAAGGGTAAAGGTTCCCTTGCTCGAAAGCCAGTCGAATCCGACTCTAGGGTTGCGGTGCTCATCTCCGTTTCCAAGCCAAAGAGCCAGCGCTGTCCGAAGACGATTCCGTGGTCATGTGGCCGGCACGACTAAACACCAAGGCGCACGGAACGCTGTTACCTTCCCACCGAAGTGGTCCCTATTTATCTACTTGCAATTTCTTGCTTTCGAACTGCTAGGTTGGCAGGGAAGACATGAAAACACCTCTTCAAAAGAGACAAAACCCCAAGACAGAATGCTGGGTTCTAA